ACTTCTTATTTGTTGGCAATCATTATAATCATTGATGAATCATGGTGCTTTAAAAGCATGAATATACTTGGCTTACATGAATTGTTATGCATTACTGTGGAAGGGGCTGATTTGTGTCTGTAATGATATTTACTATTTCAGGCTTGGATCTGTGGACCAATCAGGTTTGTACTTCTATAATATTTGGGCAATTTACAAGAATTATTTCATGTATCAACTTTATGATCTTAATTGCTTTATAAAATATCAGCATAATGGTTGAGTCAACTGAAGTTTTTTTTATCATACATACATTTCTAAATACTAAAGAGTTCACGTCAACCTCACATATATGGTGAGATGACCCAACTCCTTTTCTTTTCTCATTGTTTCCTCTTCTTCTTTCATCTCAGGATGTTGTATCCAAGATGCTTCATGTGGACCCCCATCAACGCCTGACTGCAGTCCAAGTACTGAGACATCCATGGATCGTAAACAGGGACTACTTATCTCAAAACCAGCTCAGCAGACAGGATGTCCACTTGGTGAAGGTAGAATTTTAGAATCAAAGAATATCAGAGCTGGCCAAAGACCTTAGGAACATCTTCCAGTACAACCTCTTCCTCTCATTTTACAAAATAGGAGACTGAGCCCCAGGGAAATGAAATTACTTATCCAGGGTCATAGCTATTTAGTAGCAAAGCTGGTACAATAGGGCAAGTCATCTGACTCCAAGTCCAGTGCTTTGTTAACTAAACTTCTCTCAGGGTGTAGGATGTTCAGTTCAACTCTATGAGTATTTATTATCTGCTGTATGTGAAGCAAAAGCCAATGTGATGTAGTAGCTGGCCTTAGAGTCAGGAAAACCTGGGACCTGATTTTAAAATGTTAGCTGGGTAGCCATGGGTGAATCAATTAACCTCTCATTGCCACCAGGCAACTCTTTAAAACTAAAGAGGAGATATTGATCTGGCTAGGTGGAGGAAGCTTCCACACCAGTAGTTCGCAGACCCAGGTCCCTTCCCCCCCACAAAAAAAAATACTATACAAGAAACTGTGTTAGGTGTTAAGGAACAGGGAAGGAGGGAAGGAAGGGAAGAAGGGAGAAAGGAAAGAAGGAAAGGAGGAAGGGGAAGGAAGGAAGAGAAAGAAAGGAGGAAGGAGAGAAGAGCGGGAGGAAGAAAGGAAAGGAAGAAGGAATGGAGGGAGAGAGGGAGGGAGGGAATGAAGGAAGGAAGGAGGAGGGAAGGAGGGAGGGAAGGAGACAGTCCCTACTCTCAAGTAGCTTATGTGCTACAGAGAATGAGATGCAATATGCACAATGATCAGTAAATACAATGTTTTTTGAGAAATGGGAAAGCATTAATAACTGGAAGGGATCAAGACAAGAATTAATATCACAACTGTGTCTTGAAGGAAAATAAAGAGTCTGAATGGAGGTAAGGATAGAGTGCATTCCAGGTATGAGGAATAGCTTATACAAAGGCACAAGAAATAGACAGCCAAGTTCTAGAATATGGTAGTTTGCATTGGCTAGAATATAGAGTGTGTGAAGGGGAGCAGGAAAAACAAGTCTGGAAAGTAACGTTGGAGGAGGGGAAGAAATAGGAGTGGTCTTGGGAAGCACAAAGAAATATTGTCCTGGTAATTCCTGCTCTTCAAATAATCAATGAGACAATAAAAATTAAAATGAAATATAGACACATATATCATAAAAACAGAAAGAGAAGACACTGTATATGAATCAGTTCTGGCATCTGTTAACATTTTATAATAGGGTGCTATTCAGAGTCCCAAACCCTACAGTTCTAGGCCATTATCCAGGTACTCAACATCCCTATCAAAATTAGTGTCACATGAATGTAGTGCAGGCTATTGAGAAGTAAACCTTCCTCTTTAATAGGATTATTCCACTTCCCCCTACCTTTCCTTTTTAAGCAAGATACTATGGATATTAACGTTAAGTGCTGAAAAAACCCAAGGCATTTTGAAGATGTATACATGTGAATATAAAAAAAACACAGCTAGAATCCATACTGACAAATCCACCATGCCTTTTCTCAGCAATAATGTCATCTTCCCAGAGAAAATGAAAATGGAGTACCCAGGCATTGCCTTCAGCCTATTAATTTTGCCCACTAATGATGAAACTAATAGGAACAAAAAAATACCTCTTAAGAGAGACTCTTTGGTTAGAGAATACTTGCTCCTGAGAGTCCCATTAAAAATGTGCTGCTCAACTAATATCTAGTGAGCAAACGAATGTCAGAGTTTTATATTGCTAGTAACAGCCCTGGCTGCTTTGAAGCAGGAGTAGTGTAATGAGGAACAGAGTAAAAAAATAAACAAATTTTTTAAACCTCTTGAAAATTTCTCTCCTAGTAGGTTTTCCCATGTGATTCTACTTATGGTCTTATCGATATAACCATAGTTTTACACTATCCAATCCTATATGTCTCCATGCTTTCTCATTCCCTACCTCCCATCCCTGGAATGCTCTCCCTCCACACTTGCACTTCTCAGTATTCCTGGTTTCCTTCTGGATATACCACAAAGGCTACCTTCTTCAGGAGGTCTTTCCTGATCCTGCCAGCTACTAGTGCCCTCCCTTCTAAGATTACCTCCATCTACTCTGTATGGATCTTTGGGCAGCTAAGTGGTGCAGTGAATAGAGTGCAGGACCTGAAGTCAGGAAGACTTCATCTTCCTGAGTTCAAATATGGCCTCAGACACTTACTAGTTGTATGACCCTGGGCAAGTCACTTAACCCTGTTTGCCTCCTTATCTGTAAAATGAGCTGTAGAAGGAAATGACAAACCATTCCAGTATTTCTGCCAAGAAACCCCCAAATGAGATCACAAAGAGTTGAACATGACTGAAAAAATAACTGAACAATGGACTTATTTATTTGCATCTTACCTCCTCCATTAGTAAACTCCTTGAGAACACACTGTTTTGCCTTTCTTGTATACCCAGTGCTTAGCTCAGTGACTTTTATATAGTAAGATGTTATAATCCAACAGGTATTTCCTTTTAAGTAGGGAAAATTTATAAAACACTTTAGAAGTTTTCCTTACATGACTCTTTGGTCACCTTCCTTACAAAATATACTGACAGAGGCCATGTATTCTGAGATTAGTGTACCTTGTGAAGCATGGCCACATTTGGAAAGCTTCATTTAAAAAGAGTCTGACTATAACATAAAAGATCATGGGACCTGTAGCTGGAGTAGACAATTAAAGATCATTTATTCCAACCCTGTCTCCTTATAGAGAAAACTGAGATCCAGAGAGATCATAAAGCTTTCCAGGGGTCATCTAGGTAATAAGAAATAGAACTAGTACTCAAAGCTGGGTCTTCTGACTCCAGATTCAATGCCCTTTTCATTGTAAGACTGCGGGGATTGAAGGAGAAAACCTTGACTCCCTTTTGTACTCACAGGGACCTTACTGTTAGCGTCCACATTCTCACCTCATTTTCAGCAATCCCCAGACTTCGTTGACAATGCAAAGTAGCATCTTCTCACATACACGCAAAAAGTTTATATTATTCTAGTCCAAATTATCCTCTTGGTACTAATAGCTCACATTTAGTTAGTGTTTCAAAATTTACAGAGCACTTTCTAACAACAACCCTGTGAGATAGGTAAAGACACAATGCCTGGTTTAAAGCATTTGAAGGGGTACCATGTAGAAGAAGAATGACTTGTTCTCTTTGGCCCAAAAGGCCACAACCAGCAGAAATATGTAGACAGATATTGGCTTGGTATAAGGAAAAACTAATCCTAGCTAGTAATAGCTAATATTGATATAGAGTTTAAGGTTCTTTACAAATATTATCTCATTTGATGCTCACAACAACCCTGTGAAGTAAGTACTATTATTTATCTCCATTTTACAGATAAAGAAACTGAAGTAGTTAATGGTTATGTGACTTGCCCAGGCACCCAAAGCTAGAAAGTATCTGAGACCAAATTTTAACTCAGGATTCTGACTCTAGGTCCAGCATTCTATCTATCCACTAAGCCACCTAACTAATAGTCAGAACTCTAAGAGTAGATTAGGGTGCCTCAGTACGTAGAGGATTTCTCCTCCCTGGAGATCTTCAAATAGAAGGTGAATGACTTCTTGTCAAGGATGTTCCAAAGAGGGTTCTAGATCAAATAGAATGACTTCAAACTTCATGACTTTTGCCAACTGTGAGGTTCTGTGACATCTCCATTATAGAACTGTAAGTGAAATTTGGTACTTTACTTGCTAATCACATAACTAATAAATAGCAGACCCAGAATTTAAAAAATTTTCTGAATGTAAGTCTAGTGTTCTTTCTACCAAACCCAATTATCTAAGAATAACTCAGCAAGAAAAATGATAGTTTGCCTTACACACTGACCTGCACAACTGTCTCCTGTCATAGCCTCAGGAATGTGGGGGTTTTTAAAGTATTTTCCTAGAAAATCCAGACTTTCTGTCATCATCCAGCACCCTCTAGCCATCCAATGGAAAAGCCAGTTCCAAAGCCATGCCAAGGATTGGTCAGATCTCTAAAATAGCATAGAACCACTCAAAACAACAACTTACAAAGTCAGCAAAATACAGTGGTTTCTGATAAATACTTTCTCTAGGCTAAGGATTACTCAAAAGCTAGTTCAGTTTAAGTCAGTTCAACAAATAGAACTTCCCTCCAGACTCACCCACTAGTATAGAACTGGTCTGCCTGCAGCAATTCAAAGACCACCAGATAATCATCCAATCAATACGCACATTTGTTGGTACATGATGCATGAGTCTATCATTGCCCTCCCTATCCCTTATGACAACCAAGCAAAGGAGAAATGGAATGATAGAGGAATGTTGGTAATTGAGTTTTTCCTAGGTCTTTCATCCCTTCTCTTTCTACATTGTCTTACAGGGTGCAATGGCTGCCACATACTTGGCTTTAAACCGAACCCCTCAGGCACCAAGATTGGAGCCTGTATTATCCTCCAACCTGGCTCAGCGCAGGGGCATGAAGAGACTTACATCAACAAGGTTGTAGCACCTGGTTACAGACCCTCCAGCTCCTCCCCAGAGAGGTCCATCTTTGTTACTCAGCTCCTGGACTCTTGGGCAGCGCACGTGAGCATCGCTGGAATGACCGGAAGTCCAAAATAAGGCCGCACCCTCCCTTGGCTCCTTTCATTTCCTTTTCCAGCCCTGAACAGGACTCTGACTTACTGACTTCTCAGAGCTGTGCTGTGCCAACATTACCAACTGCTTTTCTTCCTTATTCCCAAGTAAAACCAAATGAATTCATTCCCTCAGAATCATTCTAAAGCTCTTCAGGATTCTATGAGAACCTGCAAATGCTTGTATTAGTCTTATTCTTTTCATCAAAATAATTTTTTAAAGTGTTTTAAAGAGACACTTTTTGATTGAAAGGCCAATGATCTGAGCCCACAATTTGCTGCCTTACCAGCTAATATGCATAGAATTAAAAAAAAAAAACATCGTCCAAATACATCAATCAATAATCCACTGATGTTCATTTCCAAAAGGCCAAAGGCTACTAAAGTATCCCTCTCAGATTTCCAGTTGACTGGATAATGCCATGTCCATTTTGGCATCTAGGGATAGATACCTGTTTGCATTCAGAGAAACCCAAGGTATTACTTTTCCATCTGCTCTCCTCCCATTTTGATTGAGGTGGTTTATAATGTCCCTCTTTCTCTTTCCAAATTGAGAGGGGAGAAAAAAACCTACCTAAGGCATAAATGAGGCCACCAAGATGATAATACTTTGGCCTTCATGTTCCAATTTCACTAAAATGAAGAAAATAAACTCCTTAGAAAGAGGTGTAGGAAAAACCTACATTCCCTCTCAATTTTCTTACTTCCACAACCCTTAGCTCTTGGTAGACAAAAGGCCAATTAAGGATTTAGGGAGAGCTTTGGGTTTTTGTTCCCCTATGAGATAATTTTCCGCTCCCTATGCTTTAAAAAAAGCAGTCTATTTGCTGTTTGCTTTCATTTTCAGCTCTAAGAAAAAAACTGTGACTATTGAGAAAATTGAGCTCTGATATCCCTGCCCCAGATTCTGTTGGCTGAGTCAACGCCTCTCTTAAGTCCAACTGGAATCAGGAGGTATACAATTAAGGCCTTCCACTTCCTTGCCCTAAAGAAGCAGGGGGGGAGGAAAAGGGAGACAGAACAAGAGGATGCATTAACAGTAGTGATGCACTTTTTAGGAACTGTGTTTTTGTGTTGAATGTTATGTTTCTGTTGGGTAGGTCTATTTTTAAATCACTGTTTGACATTTTAATAATTTAAATGCTATTTAAATGTTTGACTTGATGTGCTGTGCACATTGAGGGGGGTGGCAGCTAAGGGTGGGGGGAAGGGTTGGGGTAGGAGCTTTGATGTGCTGAACTTTGCCAAATCAAACAATGCTGTGAAATGAAAGTCACCAGGCAAAAGACCCAGCACCAACAGGCAGTTGTTGGGAAAGTAGACCTAAGTGTTATTTCATCTTCCTAAGGATCCCTGTGGGCCCCACTTAATCCAGTGTGTTCTCAGTCCAGTAACTCAGCTCAGCAGAGTTGCAAAGAAAAAAAAAAAAAAAAAGTACTTTAACTGTTTCTTCATCTTGTCTTTTTATTTTCTGTACCATTTACTGAAGCCAGACAACTTGTTTGATGGTAACTATGAGAAGATTCAAGTTGATAGTGAAAGCAACCTTTCTTCTGAGCTTAATGGTGGATGTCAGCGTAATTTCATGTAAATGACACCATTTGTTTCATTTCTTACCGCCCCCCTTCACTTACATCCAAGCCCATCTAACTCCATAATCAAGGTATGTGCCAAGTTCAGAAAAATACTAGCTCCTGCCAGTTACTTTCTGGACCTGAAAAATAAATTTACTTAATAAATAACCTTTGATTATTCTGTTAGATTTCATTGTTTGTAAATCACAAACAAAAACATTCAAGTCTTTCTTATTGTTCCCATAGCTTCTATTATTCTCATAAGGTGTTTGTCATTGTTTCTTCAATGGGCTACTAGACAGAGAAACTTGGGTGTTGGTTGATGATTTTCCCCCTGCTTCAAAAAAAAAATGAAGATAACAGACCTCAGCCTCCAATGTCTCTCTCTATGTTGGTCCTAAAATTGATGTCTGTTTCTTTTGTTATTGAGGATTTTTAAGATTCCTTGGCTGTTAAAGCAAGTGATTTTTGTCACTTCTCTTGGGGGTTTTAAAAAGTTGAGTCAGGAAGAAATGAATGATATAGTACTATTCAGGTGTGGTGAAAGCATGTTCCATATGTATGTGCTGTAAACTTTACCAGCTAAAAACTTTGGGTTTTTTTTTTTTTAATTCATGCAGATTTGTGTGTCTTTATACATTGAACTGTAATGATCCCAGAGGCATTGATATAGTCTGCTATTGCTATAACATAGAAGAACCTGCTTAATACTACTTCATGAATTACCATACACCACATTGGATAATGTGTATTAACAGAAAGAAACACCCTATTAGAGCAGCTGCTAAGTAGGTGTTCTGTTGTAACCAAATCCAGTTGGATGACTAGAAAGCACACCCAGTTTTTGAAGCTCTTATCCAAAATAAATAAGTACTTAAGCTCATTCAACAGAAAGTCAGAAAAGATTTTCTTTTCCTCTTAGCAATGAGCATCCCACAACTTAGCTAAGATGTGCTACATTTGCACAGTGAATGCTTTAAATGCAGAAAAGGGTGAATAAGTTCATTTACAAGCACAGATGCAGTACTGGCCTTCTTGTACCAGAGTAGTATTTTCTTTCACCCTTAGCATGCCCATATTTTTTTTAATATCAAAACAACTATTTCATTTAATACCAGCAAAACTAGCCCATGCAGACAGTATCAGCTCCAAATCAAGAAATAGGCCAAAAACAAAACAAAAACAGAAATTTTCTTATCCTTAAGTCTGATGCTTAACATGTTTTTTCCTATCTTTGTGCATGTGTTGATTTTACATGAATGATATACGTAAGGTTAAGCCAGTATTGTTAATTAAATGGTATTATCCTTAAAATTATTCAAAGGGATTTTACCTTCTGTTTTATTGATTCTTGAAGCATATCATAAGGATTTCATTTGCATGCCACTCTATTTCTGAGATGGTTCTATGTTCTCCTCCCTGCCTCTCACCTTTCAGTGAAATAAAAAGTCTCAGAAAGAACAAGAAGATGAGAAAATGTAACATTTCAGAAGGCCAGGAATCAGATGGCAATCAATGCTTTTAGGTTCACTTCTAACTAGTAGGTCAAACAATGAAATCTCTGGACATGTATGTGTGCGTTCATTAGTATTTAACAGCTTTTCTACCTAGATATCATGACCCAGCACTTTGTTTACAGGTTCAGTAATCTATGTTTACAAATCATTTTTATGTTCATGCTTTCTATTTTGTTTGAAATGAGCAGTCACTGTACAGATATTTATTACGCTTTCCAGAGTTTTCTGAATAGATTTTTTTTGAATAAACATGGGTTTTATGAAGTGTAATATTTTTATAGCATAACAACCTTTGGACTTTCTATATTGCTCCCAACAATGGTCTGTGGATAAACTTCTTGCCACCTTTTCTCCTCGCACTGTTTTCAGTGCTGCTGCTGGTGTCAGCTGCTGTGATGTAGCATCCTCAAGGGGTAGATGGTACTGTATTGTGAAACTGTCTGAACTGAGAACTCTGTGCGTGTATGTGTGTATGTGGGTTGCATGATGAGGGACACTGGTAGAATACGATGAACAGTTCGACTGTACAGTGGGGCAAGAGCTCACAGGGGCAGGCTGCTGGGGACAATCCTCATTGTATCCTTCTTCTGTACTCTGCCATTTTGGCTTGGCATGCACATCCCTTCTTTATAAAGAAATAAAACAAAATTCTATGCTGTTTGTTTTGGGCTATCTGCATTCATTTTTCACTTGGCAAATGCGTAACTGATTTGTGTTAACAAACAAACATGCTTAAAACACACACCATCTTGGTTTTGCCCACTCTGTAGCAGAGTAAGAGCTGGGCAATTACCAGGGAGAGCTTCTAGAGCAAGGGATCTTATTTCTTATAGCAATCTGGTGAAACCTGTGCATACCTTCTCAGGAAAAGGTTTTTAAATCATTGAAGGAAATGAATCAAATTTATTTAGAAGTTAGTGAAAAGATGCATTTTTTTTCCCATCCACATTCACAAGTCCTCTGAGGTCTATCCTCAGATCTCTCAGGACCCATGTTACATACCCCAGCCCTAGAGACTTGTCATGGTCATGGAAGGGTAATATTATTGAAAGAATTTTAGGGAGCCCATCAAACATAAAAGAAACAGTGTCAAATAGAGATACCCAAGGGATACTTTGTAGATATTAGCTTATATGAATACTTATCTCATAAGCTGAAATTGATTTTTGACTAAAGACGAGTATCTTTGAAGTTCAGGAAGGAAGAAGTAGCACAAGTGTGATCTTAATTGTTTAAATATGTAATCAAGATCTCCATACACAGGCCTATACACTCACATATATGTGTGTTTATATGTGAGTATATAGACTATATACACATATACATATTCAAACAATGTATATATGTGTACAACATATATGTATCTCAAGGCTGGTGTTTTTATGATATGCATACTCAAAGGGTATATTGTTCAGTTGTTTTAAGATATGTCTAACTCTTCATGCAATTCTAACTATATGTATGTATATATGTTATGTCATTTACATATTTACCCTTTTAGGGGTAACTAGGCCCAGTGGATAGAGGGCCAGGACTGTACTCAGGAAGACTCATCTTCCTGTATGAGCCGGTTCAAGTCACCTACCTCTGTTTGTCTCTGTTCCTTATCTGTAAAATGATCTGGAGAAGGAAATAGCAAATCATTGTAGTATCTTTGCCAAACAAAAAAAAAAAAAAACAAATGGGGTCATGAAGAGTTGGACATATATATACATACACCCTCCCTTTAGATTATAAAAGAATTCTCTCTCCTTTTCCCACTCTAGTTACTTGTCACCGATAGTCATTTACACAATGGCATAAAACAACAAGGGCTTGTGGAGATCTTC